ATACTCAAACCCCCCCCCCCCCCCCCCCCCCCCCCAAGAATTTTACAGTACTTTATTCCCTGAGCAGAGAGGTTTTCAGCCATTGCTGCTACCCCGACTGACATTTTCCTCAGTTATTTTTGCACCAGATTCTTTCTATGCCCGCTTCTTTTGCACCCCCAGTTTCCTGTCTCAAAGTCTGAAGACTTCTTACATGACATTTCTTAAACTGAGAACCTTCTCTCCTCACTCAAGGCTCTCACTAGGGCTCTTATCCTTAAATGTAGGCAGAAATAACCCACACGTTTGCTTTTTTATACACTGTGGTGCTACCCGTTTAAGCACATAGCACATATATAGACACTATATATGTGTATATACGTATATGTATATATGTACTCATACATATATGCATGTGTATATATATATATATATAGCACATATATAGACACTAAGCACATATATAGAAATAAAATCTGCCAAGGAAGGGCATTTCCTCAGTTTCAAAAGCCATGATTTTTGCAATCCCACACTGTACTAAAACAAGATGCTATCCTCCTTCCATATTGTCCCAGTGCTTAAGCACTCCCTCTAGGCCAATCATTAATATTCCCGTGAAAAGGCAAAAGCACTGATTTCTGTATGTAAGCAAATGCTCTGCATACGTGGTTAAAGATTACTTTTCACTCCTTCTAAAAAGCTTCCAAGGCTATTAAAAAAAAAAGTATGCTTTTCTGAACTGACCAAGAAAAGCCGAAAATAATCACTTCATGTTTTCCATTTTTGCATTTTAGATTATATACCATGACATCAAAGGATTTGATTCACTAGAAAAAAAAAGTCCCATTTCTATTGGCTATTACTAAGAGGAAAGAAAAACTCAGAAGTCCTGCAGAACAGAAACCAAAATCCATCATACAGCGTGTTAGCTCTTGCATAGGTGACTACTCAAGTCATAGAAATATGCAGTGTGTAGTGACAATGGTCAACCAGTCCAGAACTCACCAAATTTTAATGAAAGACTACTACTTTTATGAGACTTGATGGGTGACCTCAGGCAAGTTTCATCCTCAGTTTCCCTACCCACACAATACATTTGTAACTGAATAAGCATTTAAGTAATTAAGTGCTATTAAGCAATTAAAACAGCAATTATTTGTTAGGATAGACTAACAGTCATCAAGTATCTAACACAGGAAGAATGGACATCAGAGGACATGAATGCAGAAAAGCTTCTGAGTAATACTGATTGGGGTGAAAAACTGGCTCTGCAAATATTTCAGCAAAAGAATATAGTGTTTCTTCCTAGGTAACTCAAACACTATGAATGAACTAAAAGAAAAAAACATCCTGAAAAACAAAAAGAGCTCACTGAAATTTTGCCCCACTTTTACAGTAATCTTTGAGGCACAACAACAAAGTGATATACCAAGGCAGGACTATTTGTGTGAATGAAAACTGGCAAAATCAGTTTTCCTCCTGCTGGTGAAGTAAACCATCAAGACAGAATGCTTTAAACTGCATACACCATACCTCATAGGCTGGGGCCAGTTCTGTTCTGACTTCTGTGTTTTGACAGGGACAGCATAAATATCCGGGTGCTTCTGGGCTATTTCAAGCTTTAAAAGAAAGTAGGAGAAAATAACTGTTCTTTTTAAGTCTATCCATTAGGGATCTTAGACTGTAGATCTAGCAGGTCACAGCTACATCTGAAACAATTAAAGCACAAATTGATAACTGATCTTATTCATATTCCTACAACTATATAATCTTTTGCTAGAGTAGTAATTCAAAGTGCATGTGAAAACAATGGATTACCGAAAGCAACAGGATTATTAGAAGTCAGCTTTCTATAGTTACCATAGAAAGCATTAAAATATGTCCTCTTTTTACATCCAAATCCACACAATGGTATGTCCATATGTGTGGTTTCCCAAACTTCTCCCTCCAGAAGCAACACAATGCAAAGGCATGATTTTCATTTTCAGGATGCAGGCTGTTCTATATGCCAGAAAGCACAGCAGGGGGAGAATGCATCTCTTCCTACCCTGGCGTTCTGGGCCTCCTGTAGCTCTTGCATTCTTTGCATCCTTGCCTTATGATCCATCTCCTCAAATATTTTTACTTTCCTCAATACAGATTTTGGCGTATTTTCTTGTTCACTTCCTTCCTCTTCCAACTTTGTCTCCGTCTCCTCCTCCTCCTCCTCCTCCTCTGCAGTTGGGACTGCTGGCTGAGAGTTTCTCAGGATGGGACGCCCAAAGGCAGGTTTTGCAGAAACAGGTGGTGGTGTTGCTTTAGCTGATACAGTTGAAGGTTCACTGCTGACAGCAAAGTTACTTGATTTGGAGTCATAGTTCTTGGGGAAGTCATATAGATCCTCTTTGTTTTGTAACTTTCCCTGTAAGTATAAAACACGCAAACAAAGTTTACATCAGCAACTTCATAATTTTAATTCCAAATGAAGGCTTTAATCTGAAATTAATCATTTTGCCTATCTATTTAACAGTGTCAATCTTCATCCAAAGTAATACTTGAAAGGTATTTGAACTGCTGCAACATTTTGGCCATACGCTCATACACTACACATCAACCTATAGAAGACTAGCACATTTAGACTTGTTTGTCCCATTTGTTAAGGATTACCAGAACTACAACATGTGTTAGGGGGCAGCACAGAGAAAGCTGACCTCCCAAATGATTTGTCAGTACTACCCAATGTAGAGTATCACTACCAGTAGTTCAGAAGTGCACAGCACCCAAGTCTGTTTTCTATTCCATCTTTATTTTCCTTACACATGCCCTACTCTGCCCAATCTCCATTGTCAAGGCATACTTGAATACATTTTGAATCCATGCAGTATGTTGAGAGCACCCGTCCTCACGAAGAAAGGACTTTGGGGTCAAGGCAAGTCAGGAATTGCTAAAATAGAATTTGGTGTCCAAACATCGTCATTTTTTTCCCTGCATCACTCCTGAGCAAGGTTTGAATAAACAGTTAACATCGATTTCTAGTGATGGAGACTGATTTCAGAGGTAGTAGATTTTGGTTTTGTGCTTCACAATAATGGCCATCAGATAGGCTTTTCCTGATGATTAGCCTCAATCTGTTCTTGCTGAGCTGAAGAAGTGCCTTTCAATTTGTTAGCAGATACAAAAAGTTTCTTATTCCACATAAAGATCACACATATTTGAAGAGAACTGTTATCCTTCAAGTTTTCTCTCTGCTTCATCCTGCAACACCTTCAATCATTCCTTCTCTCTACACTTACAATGTTTTCTAGTGTCTGATCATTCCTATTGCTCTTCCTAATGTGCCACCCTGGAGAGTTCTCCAGAAAGAGGAACCTTCTATTCAGATTTCTTTCTGCAAGTTTACCTTAGGTGGTTCAGGCTTGAATGCTGGAGGGGGACTTGGTTCTCTAAGGATCTCCCTGCTACCAGCTTTTCTCAACTGAGCTCTTGATTCTGGACTAAATTTTTTTAAACTCTATGAAAGAAAAGAAGAGATGAAATCACTGCAGTATCCAGTAATTCAATAATTTTTTGTCTCTCTCAAGTTTACTATTTTGGGAACAGTAACCAGGAGTCAAATGACTGTCAGCAACGTGACCACAATCACTGCAGATGTAATTGCAAAGTTCAAGGTGATGAGACATCATCAGGAAACCTACAGAGTTAGGCAGAAAAGCAAGACTGTTATTATTTTTGCTCTACACAATGTAGCTCTAAAACACTATCAGAGGTAAGATAAAGTCGCAGTTTAAAAACCTCTCATTTTTAAGCCATACATACAGGACTTTCAGAAAGTCCAAAGGACAGTCTTGTTGAAAATCCAATCTTCTCACCTCCTCATGATGCACAGGTTCAGAAGACCGGCTAACAGATGAAATCCTTGGTTCATCCAAGGGCTCATCAAGTTCATTGTCAGTGTATGCACCTCCTTCTCCATCTGTATCCTCTAGGTCACTGATCAGCCGACTGTCACAACTCAAATAGTCAGCACCCATTGCAGTAAGGTAAGACATACGATCATCTGCATCATCTTCCATGCCATCCATCTAGAGAAAAGTCCGTATGAATTAAGGAACAAAGATTAAATATATAAGAATTACAGTCCAGTTAGGTCTCACATCATGCCAAATATCTCCTTAAGAATGACTCTGAAGAGCTGAAAGAAACTCTAATTCAGAACCATAAAGGAAAGTCCTGTAAAAGTTTATCCCTCCTCACCATTGTCCCCTAGCCACAGCATTAATGATGATAGCTCCAAAGTATAACAGAAAGAACAATAATAAGTAATTTTTTTGTTACCAAGACAGGCATTTACTGACCAGCTGTCTAACCTATCCAGCCTTGGCAAACACAGTTTTGAACAAGTTTTTCCTGGCAAGAGATATCTTGAGACATCTGTATAGCTTAGTAAAGTATGGACGGACTGCTTACCTTTCCTTCTGATACCCATACTGCTTCTCCTTGCTGTTGCTGGATTGTATCTTTCAGACTACCATACCAGCTATCGTTGGCTGAATTCAAATTGATAGTGGCTGTAAAATTTAAAGGAAAAAGTATATATACACAGCACATGCAATGTGATCCTTTATCCAGTCATTGCTGTTCAACATTTTTTGTTTTAGTTACGTGAGAATGATAAACAGCCATTTCATTTAGATCATTGACAGAAGCACGGTATTTTTATTGTATTATTTGTTCATTCCCCAAGCTTATTAAATCACTTATCTTTAAATGACAGTACACAAATTCACAATTTGTTGTGTAGTAGAATTTGGCAGAACAAGGAACTTTGAAAAAAATCAAGGAAGGGATTGCTCATTACCATATCTTCACATCCTTTTAGTTCCAGCCTGCATGAGTTAATATGCAGAGTAGTAAGTGGATGTTTCAAGACTCACACAGTCACATCCACTGCTCTCTTGGTAAGCAGGTTAGACACACATTCTTCCTTACCTGTAAAGAGGTGGGAACAAGTTTTCTTCAGTTTGTTTGCCTGCTCATAAAGTTTTCTTGAGCTCTTGTTAGATGTGGAACATAGCCTTTGTCTCATGGTTTTCACACCCTGCTTACTGTCTGGGTTAAAGAAGACCACAATTGGAAACCACTGGGTATAATTTAGCAGGTCCACTGCTTTAGGAGTCACATCCAACAGAGCATGTTTATCCTGTTAACAAGAAAGCCCAGTAAGTGTGCTGCTTGTGAGGAACAAGAGGAAGTGGTTGGAACATGGTATCCTAGGAAAGCCAGGATATTTTTGTTCAAATGAGACCACAACTTCTTGGATTTTTTTCCCACAGTTATATCACATTCAGAAGCCACAGCAGGCAGCCTTTTTCTTTCAGCTCTGTTTTTCTGAAGAGCTTTTGCCTGAATGTCCACATTCTTATGTTAACTAACTTTCATGTTAAGTAAAATGCACTTATTCCACTCTTTTTTTTTTTTTTTTTTTTTCAAATAGTTATTGAGAGTTAACTAGCTTTTCTCTTTACCTGCCCCTACCACAGCTTCTGCCACCACAACTATTCTGGGTGCTATCTGTGAGGTTTTATCTACACTTACTAGCTGAGGCAAATCTCATTTTTTTTCATTTAATAAATTCCTTCTTAGCTACTTCTAGTGCAAAGATGAATGGTATTTTCAAACGTATGCTTCAGTGGGGCCTGAGCTCTGAACAGACTTCTGTGTGATATTCTAACCCCTCTGGCATCAATTTTATTGCACTCAGGGCAATACGCTGTGGAGTACATTCTTTTTGCCTAAGTTTTTTAGGCTTCTTGATTACCACCTATTTATTTGGGTCTCTAAAGAGTATTATAAAAAGAGTCAATGCAGACTCAGTAGATGCCACTTGGCTATAACAATCACTTCCTGTTCAGTTTAACAGTAGTAACTCTGAAGCAATCTAAAATGTTAAGTTTCTATGACAGTAAGAGCAAGTAGACCACTGCATGACAGTAAAGCCTGCATGGCGAATTCAGAAAGCATATAGTAAAACACAGATGCCCCTCTGTTCAAATTTAGAATGGACTAAGGAAGGAGAGTTTAATTTCTAGTATCAGGTTCACCCTCCCACTTGGATGACAGCTATCAAAGTTATAAAAATTGTTGTCGAACAATTTCAAGAGAGCCCTATCATTAAGCCAAGTCTGTTTATTGCAGAAATTGATGCAGTGAAGATTTGAGGACTCTGCAAGTTTTAGGAGCAAACAAATCAAACAACATGTCTTTGAGTGCAAGCAATTTTCACAGAGAAATACTCTACCTGCTCAATGATTTGCCTCACAGTGTTCAAGCGCACTACCCCAGTTGACTTCTCTGAACCTGCGTCTCTGGGTTCTGTCTCTGCAAAGACAACATTTTAGCTTATCTAGAGTGGCTGGGCATCTGTGACTTAAGTTATCCATTCTCTCAGTTAAGGATGATAAGGAAGCTAGGACAACTTACTTGCTGTCTGGTACAGGTGAGGCAAATCATTTGACAGCTTCTCCATAGCGACATCTGCAATTGGGCCAAATATCACCACAGGTCTCTTAAAACCAGCTGAAAGAAAAATATTTGGAAAAAAGGTAAGTCTGATAAGACTGGTTGTATATATAAGTGGCACAGACAAGATCCTCAATTACTATGCAAGGTTATGAATAAGTTGAAGATATTAAAAAAATAAATTTAAAAAATTTTATTTCTCAAAAGTTTGTGCAACAGCATAACTCATTCAGAAAGCTATTTTTATCAGCTGAGAAAGCAAAAGAGAGTGCTTTAATTTAACATCTTCCTTCCTTTAATTTAACAGCTTTAATAGTTAATGAAGATGTACTGAGAGGATTCTACATTCTGAGAACATGTTATGCTTATGTCAAAACAAGTGCAAACACAGTCCTCATAAGTTAATGGGGGAATGCCATTCTATTGCTCAGTCTTCATCTTGACATCTGGGAGCTTCTTTAAAATACTTTTTACTATTTATTTTGTTCCACAATACTGTCGTGTGAATACCCAGAAAATTATCTTGACTTGCTCAATGTCACTAGTAATATAGTCAGTTTAGAGTCACAGAGATGGACCACATCAGCCTTGATTACATTTGGACAATCTGTTGAAAATAGCTGTGTTTTATTTACTCTCAAGGTAATGCTAAAGTGGTATTTATGAGCAAGCTAAAGATTGTGATTGATCTCAGGCATATGGATTGTATTTTCAGAGCTAGCCAAGGGGAAGCTGAGGAAACAAGAAAACCCTGCTTGTTTCTGCCTTTTTTCATTTTAAACCTTGAAATTGGCACATGTAATTTGAAGGCAAAGGAGAACAGCAGCAGTTTAAAAACATAAAAAGCTTTTTTCTTAGAGTAGTTAATAGCATCCAGAAATTTGCATTCTGAGAAAAATGTCATCCCTTCCTGTTGCTCAAATTCAACATTGAACCCAAGTTGTCTGAAATCACTTACTTAGCTGACCAAACATTTGGACGCTAAACCAGCCAGCAATAAACGGGCAGCTGGCTCACAGCAGTCTCACTTACCCTCACGCAACTGAACTCGCTCATAAGCTGGGAATTTTGTGCTCACAGATACAATAGCTGTCAGATCTTCACGACTCTTCCTCAGATTCTTCTTCACTCCAGATCGCTGGCCACGTGTTCTCCAGAAGTCTGCCCTATCGCTTGAGCCATCTTTTGGGGCATTTTGAACACTGGCCATCTGCTCAGCTCTGACAGAGAAAGCACAGAATTCATTTCTGCAGAACTACTCAAAGACGGCAAAGGTGCTTTCACTGAAGAACAATGGATTTTGAATTTGCAACAGGTAATGCCAGACAGACAGCCATGAGTGGAGGAAAGAACAGAGAAGTCCAGGTTCTTTTGCCTTGGAACAAACACAGTGTCAGAACGATGCCCTGACTTGCCACAGCTACAAGATTGCTGGGCAGGAATGAGTCCTCAGGTCTTAAACTGATAACTCACACAAGCATACATAAAAGAATGCAACTGCAAAGAAGTGGTGAGAGAGTGCAACTCAGAACTGAAGGCCCAAGAAATTAGTCACTATTCTCTTCTCCATTAGGCCTTATAAGTCACTATAGCATAGAAACAAAGGCTGGTTTGGTCAGATCAATTAACAGAGAGGACAGAATGTACTAATCAGGAAAGAGGCAGAGGAGTCACATAAGAAGCATATTTCAGGAACTTCCGTACCATGCAACTGTGAGCTTTTTTCCTCCATCTTAAAACCACAACCACACTCAAGAACTTAAAAGCTACAGTCTAAAAATACCTGATTTTTCTGCTGATTAATTTTAATACTTTTGCTCATGGTGCACATTTGAACATTTATTATTACCTCACATGAATTTTTACTAGGAAAGCATATTTAAGCAAAAACCATTGTTGTGGTTCACTCAGTATTTCACACAAAAATAAGGACTACAGCTACCAAGAAATATTAGTCTTGGAATAAATTCTTGGAACATTTTCCATAAAGATATACAAAAGAAATTCAAGCACTGAAGTTCTTTTAAAAGATTAATCATCGAAATATTCTTGCACACACAGTCATGAGCTTCCTAAGGTGTAGGGATTTTTTTGCTGGGTTGTTTTTTCTTTGTGTTTGGTTTGATTTGATTTGGCTGGGGACAGAGCAGGGAGAGCAAGAAGAAGGGGGGGGGAGGCAAAAAAAGCAAAAATAGGACCCTCCAACCATTTTCTAGAAGAGGAACTGAAGCAGCTAGTGGTCAAAGCTTGGCTGACTGCTGAGACAGGAGCTCTAGGTCTGTGTTGCAAATACCTCATCTAGTATGTAGGTAACACCATCCTCTCCTCATGTAATGCCATGGTTCTAAACTCTACAGTTTTACAGGCATAATATTTGTGAAAGTAAAGACAAAACAATTTATTCATTCTTGTAAGGGGGGGAAAACAAGAAAGACATGGGAAGCAAAAATCATTGGGGGTGGGGTGGGGGGGTGGAATCTTACTTCTAACAATGGATAGGAAGACAGGATGCCACCTTACCTGCTCTTATTTGGAATGAGGCCCTTTTCCAGTTCATTTCCAATTCTCACGGCCAGCCAGTTTCCCAGTTTGCCATCATACAGTGTATCAACTACTCTAAAGATCTCCCCTCTCGTGAATGCTAGGCTCTGTGGTGACTCTTTTTCACACTCAAAGTGGCTCCTGATGAAGAATGAATCTCCTCTGCCACAGGCCATGATGTCTCTGTAGACTAAAACAGGAACTCCCCTTCAGTTTCTTTCAAGTGTAAAAAAATATAAAGATTAAGCTGCCATTCTAGAGAATAGTTTTGAAATTCTTCCCCTCCACTCAAAAAGATGCAAAAAAACAGTCTTCGCATCCATTGCCCTACACACACATTATCAAGAGTGTTCTATATTTGTACACACAGAGCCCTTCCAGCTCTGAGGGAAAGAGAGGCTTGTGCTCCTTAATTGTTCATCAATAAAACTGTCCATTTGCTGCTATCTGACTGAATCCCTTTTGACTGCAAGGGCACAGCAGAAAAAGAATGCTAACAACAGATCTTGGCCAGCTGCTACAGACAGAAAAACAGAAGGAACAAGCAGTACATTGCCACTCTTCAGGACTAAGAAGAGATGCTATTTGCTAATAATAAAAGAGATGGAGAAGTGCTCTAAAAAACACATCACACATGCGCATCTGTATAACCCTCATGGTATGGAATACAGCTGTCTTCTAAATTACTGAAAAGGAGGGTAACGAAAATGCTATCAAGAATAAGCACAAGAGACATTATTTGTGGTTTCATTGACAAAACAGAGCTTAAAAGCTTCATGGATATACACACATTTTGTTCAAAGCACCTACCTTCATATTTACTTTGAGCCAAAATTGTCACTGTTTCACCTTTGGGAATTTCTAAGAGATACAAAACAGCATCTTCCCGAACAATGCCTCTGAAGTCTTGAGTGTTTACCTGTGTACAAAAAAAAAAACCAAACCCAAAAACCCTAATCAACACCTGAAAAATCAACAATAAAAGGAATAACCAAAGATTTTTGTTTCCTTTAAAGAAAATCTTAAAATATCCTCTTCTCTTATTACGCCTTTTTTTTTTTTTTTATCATCAATATGGATGTCTGTTGCCATAAGGAATATTTTAATCCAGCCATTAACAGTAATCTTTCTGAAGTAACAAGGTCCTGGGTGTGCACTGCTGGAGTGTTTTTTCTACTTCAACAGGCTCCAAAAGGGCTTGAAAATCAAGGCTATCACAAGAGAAAAGAGGCAGAAAATTACATCGGCCTCCTGTTCAAATTTTCAGAAAAAAAGGAGAATGTAAGAGGACAAAATGGCATAGATTATATAATTCAGAAACTGGAAAAATAAATCAGTTACCCAAGGAAACTGAAGAAAGATGAAAGAAGAAAAATATGCTGGCCTCACTTTTTTCCCCCTCCAAGACTAGGAAGAAGCATTGTACAGAAAATTTATACTCCCACCTTGGGGCATTTTTCTTGATCAGTATTTCTCCTACCTGCCCCTTCCACAGAATCTTAAACAAACTAAAGCTTGACAATTCTCCTTCAAAAACTCATTTCAGTAAGATCCCTCCACCACACATACAAACTTGCAAAGCAATAACTTGACTTCCTAAGATCATAATTTCTTTCGTATTTCCACTAAGAAGCAAACCAAAAACTACAAAAGTGATTTGCGTTTCAGGGATACATACTTATACTCATACCTTAAGAATCTGATCTCCTTCCTGCAGTCCCTCCTGATCAGCTGAGGTGCCTTCTTGAATTCCAGCAATAAATATCCCTACTTCATTTCCACCAGCCAGTCGTAGACCCACGCTGTCCCCTTTCTTGAATCTCACCATTTTCGTATTAGGACTAAAAGATTTACAGGCAGAAAAAGGAAGTAAGGCCAGATGTTAGGCATATGACAATAACAGGTTGTCAAGCGAAAAAAATTGCAAGCCTTTCAACAAAATCATATTAATAATATTTTTAGCCCCTTTCTTTCACTATATAGGCTATATTTACCCAGGTAACTTTTCTGTGAGGGAAGGAAGCAGAGAATTCGCATTTTTCAGAGTGGAAACTGAACTAGGAAGAGTGACTAAGTGGCATACACAGATTTGACAGACCAGGAAAATAACTCCCTGTTCTTGAAGTCCCAAAGTAGTTCCCTACCTATTGGATCATCTCTCAGATGAGCAGCTGGGTTTTTTGTGAAAACAGCCTGAGTTACAAATAATCACCCTCATTGTTTTTTTCCTTTATATGCTTGAGAACTGTCATATGAATTAAATTCATACCTATGTTCTATGCAGTTTAACATGGTGGTAGACAGAAGTCTTCAAGTTTTCTTGTAATGAAAAATATTTCCAATACTGCTATGTTAACAATCAGTCCTTTCATATTGCAGTGGGAGAGGCTACCGGACTAGGTTCAGCTTTTTTGCTGTCAGAAAAGCTGTATGCCTGAGTGACCTTCCAATACAGAGGACAGTATTTATCTGTCAGCCTTTCTCAGAAATACTCTAAGCCTGCATTATAAATTGCCCTTCATCAAAATAATCACTTGATTAATTTGCACATCAGTGACAACATATGCAGGGTCCAACCCAGAAAAGATCCGAGAAGAGAATCCATTTGAGAAAATACTCCAAGCTACAGAATGTCTTCAATCCTTATCTTTAGGCTTCTCCTTACAATCTCAGAGCTCCTCTCCCTTCAATTTCTGTATTTGGAAACTCTCAAAAGAAAACGCGTAAGTTGATTTCCTATTAATACAGTTTGCAGTTTTTAGTATCTTAATTGTTAACAGATCAACAGCACCAGGTTCCATTTGACTACTTATAAAAATCATTAAAAAAAACCCAAAATAAACTTTGGAAGCAGTATTTTGTTAATTTCTAAGCAGAGACTAGAACTGCAATATGGATTGCACAGGCTTGGATTTGAAGAAAGGACCCAAATTTCTGTACAGAAGTTTCCAGCTTGTACAGAAACAAACATATGTTTGGCCTTGTCTTGCAACAAGCTTGTTTACAAATTAAGTAGAGGACATTTTCTTTGTATCTTAATATTATGGGGAAGGGGAGGGTTGTCTTTTGTGTACATATAAAATAACAGAAGTGTAAAATACATTTCCATAGAATTGTACAGGTTAGAATGGCCCTCTGCTCAAAGCATATTGCTCAGGGCCTTGACTAGTTACGTTTTTGAGTATCTCTGGTGGTGGAGATACCACGACCTACAGGGAAAGCTCTTTCAGTGGTTAACCGCCCTCATAATAAAAAGTTTTCTTCTTCATATCAAGTCAGAATTTCCTCTGTTCCAGCTTGTGTCCCTTGCTCTTCATCCTACTACTGTACCCCTCTGAGAAGAATATGGCTCTATTTTCTCTAAACCCACTATCCATTAGGTTGTTGCAGACAGCAATAAGATGTCCCTTCAGTTCTCTCCTCCAGGATTAACAAACCCAGTTTTCTCGATCTTTTCTCATAGGTCATATGCTGCAGCCACCTAACCCAAAATGTACATAGTACTCCAAATACTATCTCAAAGTGCCAAATAGAGCAGAATTAAAATATAGAAATATACCATTGCATGCCCGTGCAAACGTAGAAGCACAGGGTGTTCTATACCTTCCACGCAGAAGGCAAGTCTATACCTTCCAGGCAGATACTTCTAAAAGTAAGTTTAACTCAAATATGGTCAGTTAGAAGCCATGTCATCTCTTCTTGACATTAAGCTATAAAGGGAGTATCACTCCAAATGGGCAAAACCCCCCGAAACCCATGCAACCAAGAACAAGGTACAGGTTACTGGAAGAACACTGAGTGCAAAAGAACACAGCAAGTGCAGCCTTACCCATAGATTGCTTCATCTTCAGGGCTGGGTTTAAGAATCGTTCTTGTAACTGCTTTTGGTTGAGACACTGTACGTAAAAGCCAATAGAAGTTACTGAGCTATTAAAAAAGTTATAAATAGCAGCGATTTTTAGTTATCAGATAGCAATCAAACCCCTCCATGCCAAAGACTAATACAGATTTAAATGTCAAGTATTTCTGACTAGAATTGATTTACTTCCCTTTTTTTTTAATTCTTGAAAAAGAACAAAAAGGTCAAGGGAGGGATACACAACTCTTTCAGGCAAGCCACATCAGACTTCAGGAATAGCTTCATTTGGCTGATTAGGGCAATAGGCTACAGTAGATGCTCTAGGAGAGTACTTGCTTTTTGAGGTGGTAATTCTAATAAGCAACTGCCTTGAAATAATCTCAGGTGTTTCTCTGCACCACAAAGCAAAGACAGACCTCTTCTCTGTGCGTCAGGATGGGGTTGACATGAAGAGTATACTAGGTATGTCAACATGATTGGGGAAGCAGACATTCTGTGGCCAGGGAAAAAAAGGCAACCAAAAACTTAAAACACCGACCTGCTGCATCATCTTGGTACTTCAGCTCTTTGTTTGTGTCTACAACTGTAACAGCAGGAGTAGCAATGTCATCAGTTGATTTGAATGGTGTAGGCATTGCTCCCATCCTGGACATCCTACTGGATGGATCATCTTTTGCGCTAAAAGAAAGAAAAAGAAAAAAAAAAATATAGATAAGAATGCCACGTATTTTCAGAGTTTCTTTGACAAGCATTAGGAAAAGGGACTAGAAAAAAAACCATTTCTTACTTTGGTTTCTCTTTCAGCTTTTCATTGGATGAATGTGAATCTAGATCAGAATGATGTAATCTGTCATCGTGAGGGGAGAATGATCTGTTTGACTCTATTTCAGAAACATCTGTAAAGAGAGCAGCAAATCAAGAAATGCAGGATTTGTTTAAATTATCTGCACATCTGATCACCACATTTATTTAGAAAGCTTTCACATGTAAGATATGCTGAACCTTTAAGCCTACTCCTGTTCCGAGTTGGATTTGACCAGGGTTCAAAAAGTGCTGTATGCCTTTTAATACTTCCACCCCCCTATCCCCCAGAAAGCATTTCAGGAAGGTTTCACACAACCTTTAGGAAACACACTCACATCGCACAACTACTTTGAGCATTCCATGGACTCATTAACTAGTGTTTGCAGCCTTTTATTCGAGGTCTCACGGAGGTTCCCAAACAGAAGACCACCTTCCCAATAACAGTCCTCACATCATTGCTTTTCAGTGACAAAAAGAGCAGCCCTCAGACTTGAGCCGTATCTCAGCCTTCACAGTAAAATCTACAAAAAGTTGCACCCAGTATTCTGACATCAGAGAAGCAAATATCTTGCACTAAATAATGTAACATCCTGCTCCCCCAAACATCCCAAGCCCTTCTCAAAGCAAGATTATGTTGACAGATATAGCTCATACACTGTGAAAGATCATTTGTACAGAATAGATACTGCCAATAGAAACCCGTTGTCCAGGAGGACTTAATTTCCTCTTGTCCTGACATTTTTTCCCCCCATTGAATGCTGCCATGAATGTTAATGCCCTCAGAAGGAGAGACCAGTCCAATCCACTTGTTTTTAAAACAGAAGTCTTATTAAAGCAACTGACTTGCTTGTTCCGATAAGTAAGATTGATTTTGCCAGACCAACACTGCTTCTTCTATGTCTGCCCCTGCCCAAAATGTAATTACATGATTACTACAAAATTCTTCTTTCACCTAAAGGAAGCGGGTTTGATGCTTAATTGGCTATTACTTAAGTTTGTTTGTGTTTGGTTATTTTTTTTTTTAAAAGAATCTAGTACCACTCCAACACAGCAAAACGCTGTAAGCTCCATTCTGTCCCTGCACGGAGTCCAGAACTTTTTATCCACATTAAACCTCACCATCCATTTCTGAGTCACTGTCGTTCAATGAAGGAATGTTGAGCAGTGTCTGCTTTCTGTCCCTGAGGACAACCAGCTGGAGCTTCCCCCGTGACTTCTCAATCAATTTTCGGGCATCAGCTAAAGACATGTTTTCTGTCACTGTACCATTGATCTGGACATAAAAAGGCAAAAGTAACACTACAAGTAAACAAACAAGTCCATATTGTGCTCAAGTTAAACTTGATGATAACATAACTTGCTCCAGAGTAATCACTATAACAACCGCGTGCTAAACTGCTATCAGTATAACCAGAACAGACCTTGAGAATGATATCCCCTTCATGAAGGTTGCCGTCTTTGGTTGCTAGGCCAGTACGGGTCATTTCTTTTATGAAGATCTGACTTCCAAGCCGGAGACCGTATTCTGGAATCAGGGAAATAATCCACTGTAGCTTAGAAGATGAGTGAGATGCATTTTTTTAAAACTATGCAGCGTACATGCAACATACCCCATTACACCATGAGAAAAGAAAATTAAAAAAAATGCAGACCTAGCAAACCCACTTACCGCTAGGCTAACTCTCCTATTTCTGTGCTGTCACCACAGAAAAAACAAACAGCAGTCGAAAACCAATCACAAATGGATGATTAGTCTGCACCTTTGACAGCAGAACAATGCCTTTGTTCTGGAGGTGCTTATTGACATGCTGGACTAGATTCTCTCTCTGTATCATATTTTGCATGGTGTAGAGGGGGAAAAGGGTCAAAAAGCGCTAACAGAAGAGCTGTTTTTTTAACCACTTGCTGCATGCTGACCCTGTCCTGTCTGTACCCTAGTAAGTGTCTCAGTTGTTTCAGGCAAAGGATTTCCCCCCC